CACGTTCTGCTCTGCTTACCAGTCACAGGAGAGGAAAGATATTGGTAACAAAAACAACATAAAAAAACTTTTTCGTAATCTGATGTATTTTTAAACGAGATATTAAACGGGAAACAGATTATCTTAAAATTAAAGTTGCTGCAGAGGTAGAGCAAGTTATTGAAAGACTAAGTTACAATTATAAACACTTTTTCTTAAAAAAAAGAAGCATACACTGATTTTTACAATAAAACCAGTAACGTGCGTTAAGTAATTAGAGACCATTTATCTCATTATGACGATTCAGAGTCTGTGGCAGGTGTGTACCACAGAGGTTGGTAGTATAAAAGAGAATCAGGATAGAAATGGATAGAAAAAGAAAATTCACCTTCAGTAGCAAGTTGATCCTCCACTCTACTGATCTTTGTGTCCAGTTGGAGGAGTTCAGTCTGCAGGGCGTTAATCTCTCTCTGAAGCTCAAGCCTTCTTGCATCTTTATTCTGATTTTTCAACTGTTTACACTACAAAGAACAATCACCTTTTCATTCTGTTCATATGAATCCTTATAGGAGCAGATTAGCAAACAAGAAAATAAGCAAATAAGCTACTCTTCTTTACCTCTTTATCTTGTAAAAGCTTGTACCTAAGGATTCAGATTGTCAAGGTACAATTCCACTGATCAGAGACCACCATTTATCTTAAGTAACAACTTTATTTGCAACATTTTTGACAGTGTACAGTATAAACATAAAAACTGTGATGGGCATACTGAAATCATCAGATCCTGTATATGCAATGATTTATGTCATTTAATCAGTGTTATTTTGATTTTATTTATATCTTTGTTGATATTATCTTCTATTTTTAATTATTTCAGTACTTTTATCTTTTTATAGTCTTATCTTCTTATAGTCTAGACTCTATAACTCTATAATTATATTTAGCTTTAATTTGAGCATTAGTAATTTTGGTAATTTATGCAAACACCTAATATTTATATTTTAATTATATTTCAGCTATATATATATATATATATATATATATATATATATATATATACACACACACACACACACACACATCATATTTTAAGAAAACTTTAAGGATACCACTGAACATTCCCTCTCATGACCCGAACATGCCTGTAAGATATATTTCAAAAGACATTTGAATCTGTGCATTTAAAAACACGTAACGTTAACTTAAGAATTAGAAATGATAAAAACCTTGAGATCTCACCTCTCTTTATAAACATGTTGCGTCATATATTTCCAAATGGAAGCTCCAGGACCAACGCATAATCTGCAGAAAAACGTAAACAAATGACCACCCTAAAATCGTGGATGAGTATTAACGTTAATTCATAACAACCCACTCACGTCTTCATATAGCCGTCATCCGGGAGTCTGGCTGCTGGCAAGTCAAGTTCTTCAATAGCCCAGCGCTTTAGTTCCTGACTGATACTCGACATCTTTTTGAAACCTTTTATAACAAAAACAAACCAAGCGTATCCAAATCTCACATCTTCTAAATGATGACAAAAAGAAAACACCGTCAAAATACGCGGGAGACGTTTCTTCGCACCCGTTTATTCTGCGATTTGTAACTGATTGTGCCGATGCTGCCTCCCACAGGTTACTATACAAACTTATCCCAAGACCTGTTTGTCGACTACCCATTGAATCTCTTTTGTAGTTTTGTATTGAATGAATTATTAGCTTCATTTCCTTAAACAGATCCCGAATAGATTAAATTTCACTGAAGAATCTTAATTGTCACTTCCTATTATCAAACCAGTTAGCCTTATCATAATATTTAACTCTTAGTCCTACGTTAGGCCTATTGGCTGTAGTTTGTAGGCCTACAGTTTTTCACAAGAAAACAAATTTTCAAAACTCTTAACGCACCAAACACACCTACAACACACAATCGGCAAAACAGTTGAGACAGTGAGTCAATTTTATAAACACTTCTTAAGATCATTCGTTAGACACTATCAAAAAATGCAGAACACAAAATCCATAGCATGCAGTTACAGAAAAAAAAAGCATATTGTAAAAAAGTAAACAAATTTTGCAATTATGTAAAACATAGTAAAGTCAACTTACAGTAGTAAGGTGAATAAATTGTAGCCTATACAGTATCCACTGCATATTGTACTGGATATTGTATTAGTAGTCCTATCAAACGTCGAATGTATATTCAGCACTTGCAGACTGTGAAAATACAGTGACCAACTGCAAAAGCCAACAAGGTTACAGTAAAAAACCTGAGTTGTGCAAAAGTTAAAACAAAATAGGTCATTGAGAGATTTTATTCTGCTTCAGCATCATGTCTTCATGTTGGTCCGCCCGGAGGACTTTGTCCATATCTCAGACACAAAGGGAAAAACCCAAAGACAGATCCAGTCTTGACAACATTCTCCACATCTCGCTCTTCCTCATCCTCTACTTGGTTCACCTCCTCTTACTCATACTCTTCCTCCTCTCCCTCTTTCCAATTTCCATATTAGTACCAATATTCAGTGCAACATTTTAAGTACATTTTGAGACTCTGAACTGACTTATGTACAGTTGGTCACATAATTAGAAATAATTGCGAACAATTTCACAGTTTTTCTTGATTGTTTACACATTTTCTGAAAGCATGCCTCATACTCTCAGAACTCTATACACACAAATCCAAAACACACACACACAATGGCCAAAACCCCTCAATTCTCCTGAAAAGTTAAACTTTACATTCAAAATAAAGTTATTTCTTCTCAAAATGATATTTTGTTTTCAAATGACACACACACAAACCATCATAAGACATTTATAAGAACCAGTTGAACACTGATGTGCTCGATGTAAAACACTGTGATGAATGGAAAACACTTCTTCTCCATTCATCATTTAGGCCTTTGTTTTGTTCAGTGTTACACTTAGGCTACTTACTACAGTCAGACAGTACATACATAAGTGTGTTGTAAAATATTTGAGAATATTGTTTTTATATTCAGAACACACAAATACGGTAACATGTGTGTGTGTGTGTGTGTGTGTGTGTGTGTGTGTGTGTAAAGCAGGAAGTGTGCTTGTATAGTTTAACAGAAGTGGTTCAGGGGGTTGGTGCATGAGTTACGTTGTGGTCATTGTGTCTCAAGTACCAGAATTTGTGTGTAAACAATTGAGAAAAACTGTAAATTTTTGTGTGTAATTGATGACAACTGTGTTGTAGTTGTGTTTAACTTTCGCCTCCCTTAACATTTTGAAAAATAAGTGTATCACACTGTGAAATATGTTTTAGTGAGTGAGAATGTGTTTAGAGTTTTGAGATTTGCAAACAGTGTTTTAACTATCTGAACTTGTTTAATGTTATACAGAAAGAGTGATTTATTCAACAAATTGGTTCAGACTATTGAGAATTTGGTTCAGAGAATGAGGTTTAATGTTTTAGCAATTCAGAACTTTAAACTGTAAAATAAACAGTTCTGAGCCAACTGGGTCTGAGAAAAGAGTTCAGTTCTATTGAGGAAAGAAAATGAGAGTTTACGTCATCGGAAAAATAACTGTTTATGAATATAAACATTCAAAGGAAATCTAATAAAACAGAAAAGAAAAATCCTGGCTGTCTTCCAACAGGGAAATTGTATGAATAATGGACATGTCAAAACAACTGTGTCACTGTCTGTCTGTAACTAACCAAAACAAATGCTGTCAATCAGAGATACAATCAGAAATTCCTTTTGGATTTTTTTTTTCTCCGAGTGAAATACAGGTACAAAATAAAAGATAAACAATATTACTGTAAAATTAAACAGTGTCACTCAGAAGACTCAATTCTAATAAAACAAAATGAAGAAAAAAAATGTAAATAAAAAACAAAACAAAAACAAGGGATCCATTACATTAAATATTTACTCTAACATAAAAGGTTAACCTTTTGGCATACCTGTCTAATAAAAGTAATCAATACACCTGTATTTTCTCAAAAAGAAAACCTGTATGGCAACATTACTGTTGTCTGAGATTGCAATGTTTGAGAACAAAAATAAAGTGCATGATAAGGATCATTGCCGTGATTCATGAACACTACATAAATGGTTTAAAAGACCTCAATTGACAGAGTGCATTGTAGCCTACTTTTTGTAATTTTTACGTTGACATTTTTATCCCAGGAGTCTCACGGAGGTGAATCTTCAAGTTTGACATGAAATCAATCAAAATGTTGCAATGTTTGCTTATTCAGAACAAGTAAATTTAATGTATTTGATTCAAAACATTCATTGGTCTTGGATTTAAAAATTGCACTTAAGTGATTATCCACTGCTTTATCCTGATACTTTGAATAATCGTGCGTACGAAACTAAAACAATTACATCTAAAAAAAATCCCTGTCAGAATTCTCTGTAACATTTTGTTTCATTTTAAGCTTGTGAATTCAGACAAAAGTTTTTGATTAACTGTGCTGGTGTTTTAAATTTTGTAAGCCTAGTAACAACTAGTAACACAAAAACAGTACATGTGTGTGGATTTAATCTATAACAGAACCTAAACAGCATACAACTGTTACATTTTTTAGTGTGAAATTACAGTATTCCAGGATAATAATTGCATGATTTTCTCAGTAATTCCACAGAAGGACATCTACTGATCTGCATGATACAAGAGATTTCTGCATTATACATTGTATAGGACATTTCTGTCTCAATACTGTATTTCAACACATAACTATGGAGGTATGCTATTTTATCTTCTTTACAAAGTATGTGACATGAACTTGCAATTTAGGTCAAATTAATCCCTCACCTATCAGTTTTATGTTACAAAACACTCACTTTATTTAACTTTCTGAAAGTCTTGACTAACAAAATGAAGCATTGGAATGGCTCTGTCTCATCAGAGGTTTGCCTGCATGCGGTGACCTCATAAACACTTCTAAAGAACTGTTATCAAAAATAAGTCATGTGTAACACTTCCTTATGTAGCCTACGTTTGTTGTGGGGCAGGAGAACAATTCAAAGCTGCTATCACAAGACAATTTCTCCCTTTGATCGTCATAACTGAATTCGCCAAAAGAGGGCATTAGAAACCATTTAGCCAACTTAATTGGACAATAAAATATCTGTTGATCTGACGGAGTCACGGACACATATAAAGAGTCGACTGACAACAAGACACAATTACTTTCCCTCTCCTTTAATCAGCAACGCGCACGGTAGGTCTAAAACAAAGATATTGTAATAACTTTATTATATTTAAACTTCAGTAAAGGCTTGAGTGTCTATTAACGGGAATTGTTATAAGTCAGTTGTTTATAATTGATATTATTTATGTTGGTCGTTTCAGATGTATATTGCGAGAGGTCTACTTATTCTTTCATTTGGATCCATGCTGAGGATAACCTCCTGTTTCAGCGATGGAGGCTTATTGGCGGATCAATGTCAAGCAATGAATATTAACCATCCTGATGGAAATGATATTGATATACCAGCACAAGACACGGAATACCCTTTCAAGGTCGAACCAGAAAGTGTGAAGTTGAACGTCTCGATGCCCCCTATTCCCGGTAGACTTATCATCCTCCCTCTCCTTCTCTCTCTCTCTTTCTCTCTCTCTCTCTCACACACATATACATTCAAAATTGCTTTATTTTCATGACTGTACATCATACAATATTGCCAAAGCTTGGAATACATAGAATAATTATAAAGGCATCAAAATAGTAAAATATTATTACATTGTGATATCTAAATGTACAAATTAAATTAATTATACAAATTAACATTGTAAAATAAAGAAAATAGAACAGTTTATGAACATTAAAAAAAGAATTTAGAATTCAGTGTAAGTGTTTTTGTGTTTTGTGTATGTGTGTGTGTGGGCGGATCACTGACCATCGACTCTCTTTTTGTGACAAGCATCAATATATCTGGCTGTTAGTACGATAAAATCTCTTTTTTTCCCCATAATAGATGTTGAAATTATGTTTTGTTGTTTAATTGTATGAAGTTAGGGCAAAGTATTTCAAATTTTGTATAAAAAGTCTCTCTAATGTCCTCATAGTTGGGGCAGCTGGTGAGGAAGTGTTGCTCAGTCTTCACTTCTCACAGTACGGGCAGACGCGTCACTCTCTGGGCCGCCAGTTCTGTCTGTGTCGGCCTGTCTCTACAGTCAGAGTGTGACTGCTCAATCTGTACCTCGTCATCTTTCTTCTTAGTTTACAGTCTTTCATTGTACTCATTAGTGGAAGAGTATTAATTGCATTACGATGGGTAGAAAGGACGGGACAGAAAAAAGTATTGGTAAAGTTTATTTGGATACCAGGACATTTAGAGGTAAGGGGGAATGAAATGGCAGATCAATTAGCAAAAAGGGCATTAAAGATAATCAATTGAGGGTGAGGAGTTGACGTCATGGTACAGAGCCCCTTCCCTCTCCGCCATGTTGGTAGGATTCCGACGGCAAAACTTGATTGTTTACGTGTGTTGTTAACTCGGTAGTAGAAGAGGTTATCTCAATTCCGAACTGTCTAACCATGCCTGAAAGTCACTGCTGCGTTAAAAACTGCTCCAGTACCTCACACGATACAAATGGAAAACAATGGAATACAGTTTTTTAGGTTACCAAAATGGACACAGCATCAGGGAGAGCAAGTCTATGACCTGACGAGGAGTCGCCGGATTGCCTGGTTAGCTGCAATAAGAAGAAAGGACTTTACTTTCGATCTCACTCCCCAGTCGATGAGAGTGTGTTCTCTGCATTTTCACTCGGGGACGTTCTCTAAAAAATGTCATTATGTTATTGTCTCTTGAAGTCTCCTACCATCATGGCCGACCGGTTCAGACCCCGCCCAAATCGGCAAAAAAAAAAAAAAATCGTCTCAAAAACACATAAAATGCTCTGTAATAAAGAGAGGTCAAACTCGACATTAGGAAATACACGAAGCTGAGATATCGGCCTCTCAGCCTTGCCGCAAGGTCCTTTGTCTCATAGACCAGTGGTCAGGTCTATCTCTTCAACCAGTTTTTTCAGTCTTACTGTTCCCGTTGATTTTTCAGATCATTGCATGCATGGTGCAATGTTCTTTTATTTTGAATTCTATCAAGAATAAAAGTGCTTACTGGCATTTTAATTTAACTTTGTTTGATAATAAGGATTTTCTCTTAGAAGACCTCAATTGTAGGCTACTTCTGGACAAAGGTCTTCTACCTTTGAGTTGCCGGAGAGCAGTCCTGACCCTCCTTCCCAAAAAAGGACATCTCATGGAAATCAAAAACTAGAGACCAGTTTCACTTAGTTATAAACTTCTTTAAGTTTAAAGAAGTTTAGCAAAAAAAGACTTTAGCAAACAGATTATCAAAAATTATGAATAAGGTGATCCATCCGGACCAAACCTACTGTGTCCCCAAAAGGTCAATTTTTGATAATATTTCCTTTTTTTTAGGGATATTTATGATGTTTCTCAGTTATCAAATAGTGAGATTATACAATATAATACAATAATACAATTTTATTTGTAAAGCACATTTAAAACAACTGGGTTCGCAAAAGTGCTGAACACTGACATAATTTCAGACAAAATTATAAACACATGACAAAAGCACAAGACACAGTCAAACAAGTGACAAGACAAAACAAAAATCAGATTAACTCTCAGTCTGTTTTAAAAGCCAATGAATAAAAGTGAGTTTTAAAAAAAAAGTGAGTGATTGGACTGATTTCTCTCGACCAAGAAAAAGCATTTGACAGAGTTGAACACACATACAGGAAACATTAAAAGCTTTTGGTTTTAGTCAAAGTTTTATAGATAAAATTAAATTTTGTACAGTGATGTTGCGAGCATACTCAAAATTAATGGTGGCTTATGCACTCCTTTTAAAGTTTTTAGAGGAGTGAGGCTCTCTGGAATGCTATATTTGCTAGCAGAACTCTGTTTACAACAATTGAGAAAAATACAAGATTTTTAATTGCCTAATTTTGAAAATGTTTTTTCCCTTCCTCCTGTCTTAGTATGGAAAAAGGAGGCTTTAAATATTTGTAATTGTTTTTAGGAGATAAGGCAACTGTACAAAAAATTGGGAAGGAACTCTTGAAAAAGTTAAAGGTCGACTCAAAAACAATGGAAGTGGTTAATCCTAAATATGTCATATAGAGGTTGAACTTTACATATAAATAATCTTTATGACATAAATTAACCTGCATTGATCCTCCTTTGCGTCTCTTAGCAGACATTCAATCGATTTTAGTCGATTTTTTTTTTCTGGGACAAGTTATTGGGTTCCTCAGAGTATATTGTTTTTACCTAAAGGAGGAGGACAAGGATTGGTGCATCTTTAAAGTAGAGTGGCAGCTTTTCGTTTACAGTTTTTACAAAGACGTTTTAAAGGACCGTATGTAAGATTGTGTCCAAAACTGGTACTGCAATCACTTTCCCCTCCCCCTCAATCGAGGTTGCCAGAAAGGCTGCAAGATCCAGTGCATTTTTTTGACACGTTTGTAGCTGAGGTTGTGGTAACTAGAGCAGAGCTGGCAACCCGGATACTGACTTTGTGATTGGTAGACCATCAGATCAAAACACAACATGACAACATCAACATCAGTTGAGGGCTGCAACTTCACTTTTTAAATGATAATATCCTGGCTGGACTACTGTTTTCAGTGATAAGTATTTGAAATGAACATGATTTCTTAATGTCTAGAGACAGATCAGGGCCATTTTATGATTTTTTGAAATAAATTTCTTACATACAGCTCCTTTAATGTTATAATAATTTCAAGCTGGAAAGTAGCTGCGTGTAAAATACTAGAAAATCTTGGAAATTTGAAAATGGATAGAAATCTTTTCTTTGTGGACTTGTCAAAACTGAACCTTAATGGACTTGCTATTTTTATCAGAATGATTTACAGTAACACAAAATGACTGTACAATTCCTGGACTCACAAAAAACACTCGTAGCTTCCAGAATTTTCTTATAGGTCAAGCAAAGAAATCTATACGAGTAGAAAAAAAAAACAAGATAGAAATGTGTGCAGATCAAGATTATCCAGAATACTCATTTATTTTAATTTTTATAGTTCCAAGGAATGATGTTATCACATCTGAAATTAAATGGTTCCAGAATGAGGATCTGTGCTCTGTTATTGATGGAAAAATACTTTTTTCTGTTCTACTAATGTAGAAAAAGTTTTTTAAAAATATTTTTTATTTTGTAGTTCTTTGTGGTGTAAAAGTTAAATGTCAAATGTTGATTTGTTGAAAAAATCTCAAAATTCTCCCTTTCTCTCTCTCTCTCTCTCTCTCTCTCTCTCTCTCTCTCTCTCTCTCTCTCTCTCTCTCACACACACACACACACACACACACTTTATTGTTTTATTAGTGTAAACAAAATGTTTTTTTCAGATGTGTCACTTTAAACTCTCTCATTTTACCATAGTGACCCTTTCGGGTGGACCGGGGTTTTCAGGGTTTATGTTGGACTCGCGTGAGAAAGATAATGGTCCGTCTGTTGGTACGTTTAGTTTGGAGGACCTGGACAACACCCAACTCATCTGTGGTGTGAGTCCTGCTGTGCACCACCACTACACACTAAAGTTATTCTTTACACCATGTGTTAAAGCTGCAGTCTGCAGTTTTTCCTCTTTGTCGCCATCTCTGTTCGAAATCTGCAATTGCAGTCATTCGCGGAATTATCAACTTTACGTGAGTTGTACATAAACACCCTCGACACGGCACAGCGTGAATGAACACAATGTTTGAGGAGAGTGTGAGGCTGTCAGTCACCGCGCTGATGTGGATACTGTCATTCAGAATCACAGATTATTCTTTTTGGAAGTATGACCAACATAAGAATTTTCACCGGTAAAATGTCATCTGAACTAGTAAGAAACATCCACTTTTGTTCTGGTTCTGACATTGCAGTAAATCGCACTGATTAAATCTAACAATCGCTTAAAAGTTATATCACGCAAAACCAAATTGTTAATGTTAACAACGTCAGCATTGCGTGACTACATGTAATGTTCTTCCAATAAGTATCGTTGTTTTCGGTTCGGGTCCGGTTACAGCCTCTTTTTTCTGTAGCCACTCTGAAGTCCGAACAAAGTCTTTTGCATTTTACAACGGGTGAATCTCTAGTTGTCACTTGTGATTGTTGTTTGAACCTTTCTGGATACACCAAAATAAGCAAATTGATAAGTTTAATTATATCAAGTGCTGTGAGAAAAGTCTTTAAATCTCCACCTCCAACATCCTCACACGCAATATAGCCTACTAGCCGAGACTCCTTTTTTATGCGTACAGATGTGACGTCATGACGCAAAGACACGCTCGAATCTCCCACAGAAATCCACCAGTACCACTGGAATGAAAAACATTATTACAAGCTTACCACTTTGAATCGAGCTAAGGCAAGCAGATAGTTTTGAACACTGTCTGGTTATGTATTTTCTCAAATATGTATTTTGGATAATTTTTTACCAAAAAAAAAAACTACGGACTGCAGCTTTAAATGTTAGCAGCTATTAATTCATTAAACTAACCTCAACTGTTTATGTGCTATTTATAGGGCAGTGTCGTTGTTCATGTTAATAATCTAAATAAAAACTCAATCAGAGTGTTGTGGACACCCCCACCGGCAGCCCCAGGACTCAAGACTCAGACTCAAGAATTTTTCTTCAGGTAGCCTAGTTTTACTGTGGAGCCTAATAAGACGAAATGAAACATAATAGCATCATTATAGTTTTGTTACGTTTCATTTTCTTAGTTTGCAAATTTGATCTTCAATTTCCTTTTTAGAGCTGCAGTTGTGGAAAACTATTCTAAGTTTTGGCGAAGGAAGCCGATAATCATAACATCCACAACACCACCGCCCTCTGAAACAGGTAATAACATTTTTGTTGTCTACTGTTTTTTTATTATTATTTTATGCAGGACTAATTTAAGTCACCATCATACAATCAATTTTCACAATTCTTATTAAAAATAATCGCAGTATTCATTATAAATCATTTATCCATGACTATAAATATTTATTTTAATTTACATGCCTTTGTCATTTTTTTATTAAAACAATGTCCCCTCCCTTATGCCACGTCATCTGGGGCCAGTTACATAAACCACTAAGGTTTGTTTTAAATATTAGTCATCACATTTTTGTCTTGTAGACGGTTCATAACTTTTTGAGTCAATAAAATAAAAATGTAGGTGTGACTAACTTAATACTAATGGGGATAGGCATTTTTCAATCTCTTTACCTGATTTGCTAAAAATGAGTGGGAGATTATATTGGTACAACACCGGAAAAACACGGACCAAAGAGACCTGTTTCATAAAACAAGTTTACCAAATAAGCCACGCTTATTTCAGTTAGTCTGACTCATTGTCAAATGATTTGGTTTCATGTAGAATTGAACATTTCTCAAGCTCAGTCACTTTGGCTATTTTTTTACAGTCTATGCTACTTATGCTAGGTTTGATTTTGAGATTGGTGGAGATATCGCAAGAAGCTGAGGAATCAGGAAATTACTGGCAATAGGTTAATGTATTACAGTTTTTCTCAATTGTTTACACACATTTTCTGAAAGCATGTAGCCTGGTTCAACCAGACTCTAGTTCATTTCAGTAAAATGAAATTGAGCGGAAGTGCGTAGGAGGGCGCAGCCAGGCTAGAAAGCATGCCTCATCCTCTCAGAACTCTACACACAAATAAAACACACACACACACACACACACACACACACACACACACACACACACACACACACACACACACACACACACACACACACACACACACACACACACACACACACACAATGGGCAAAACCCCTCAATTTTAGTGCAAAATGAAACTTTACATTTAAAACAATGTTATATATTCTCAAAATGGTATTTTGTTTTCAAATGACACACACAAACCATCATATGAAAAGACATTTACAAGAACCAGTTGAACAATTTGTGCTCAATGTAAAACACTGTGATGAATGGAAAACATCATCATAATTCAATCATAATAAACACAAAGTTGCACATACAGTGGTCTACATACAAAACAACAGAAAAATGTACTGTATACAGTTACAGTAAAAAAATAAAAATAAAACTATGCTGCATCCTCACTCCTTTTTCGATCTTTTATGCTAAAGCCCTGATTGCTAATTTTAAAACTGTGTGACAGGTGTTTGCCCATGTGATGAGTCAGTGTGCATATCTGAATGGCAGTGTGAAAACAAGAGATTTTCACATCTTCTTGTGAAAAAAAAGAGATTTGGTGCATAAAAATTGTGCCAAAAGTAGAGAATTGTGCATAGTGTTTTGAAAGTGTTTTAGAACTGCAATTTGAGTGTAAAGCTTGTAGTTGTGCTTGTAGTTTAGCAGAATTGGTTCAGGGGGTTGGTGAATGAGTTACATGTGGTCATTGTGTCTCAAGTACCAGGATTTGTGTGTAAACAAAATTCTATCTTTTGTTTTTGACTTCCAAATAGTCTCTACTTGTTCCCAAATACTTGCTTTTGATGAAACCTTTGTGCGATATATCTTTGAATCCACTAAATCCCAGACTTTGACTTGGGATTTCAACCATATATATATATATATATATATATATACTGTATATATATATATATATATATATACAGTCATGGTCAAAATTGATGGCACCCCTGCTGGTAATTATGATTACAGTTTTTTTCGATTGCTAAACGTCAGTGAGCACGACTGGAGCTAAATGTGCAAAACTCTAACTACAGTCTGCATTACCAACAGTCACCTGAGCACAACTCTTAACACATGGCTCAAAACAGGCTCAGTGTGCACAACACTATGCACAACCCTCACTGGGATAACACACACTGTCACTCAGAACACACTGAGAGGAAAAACAGTAGCATCAAACACCAATGCAGAAAATACAAACTTTTCATCTTTACGGTTTCAACAATTTCACACTTCATACAAAGTAATATTTTCTTCAAAGAAAACAGTGACAATCTTTCATTTCATATTTTTACATTTTTAGAACATAACAATTGAAAATTAGCAGTTTGCTTCAATAGTCTGTAGTAATTTACAGAATTACAGTAATGAGAAAAAATGGTAGAAACTAAAAGTACATCCCGTAATTCTGTAACCCTGCCTCTCACAAGCATTAGGCCACAAGTTTTTAGCCTTTCAGCTGAAATTGTTTGAAAATCAGCAGTGTGTGAAAGGCACAAGGCTGAAATTTATTCTGTTTTGAATGAGTGGTTCACAGTTTTGACAGCAGTGTGTTAGCATTTTGAACAAAGTGCTGTAAATCCACAGTGTTGTGCAGGTTGTGTTTAAAGTCATGGGATAAGTGTGTAGAGTTTTGAAAACTGTGTTCAAGCAATGAAAAATGATCTAGAGTTTGGTCCACATGAACTGCTGCTGTGCAGACTGTAGTTAGAGTTTTGCACATGTAGCTCCAGTTGTGCTCCACTGTGGTTTAGCAATCGAAAAAAACTGTAAAACTGGCTGTAAAAAATAAATCTGTATTGTTTATCCTTTTGATCTTCCATTCAAAAAACTGGCAAAATTCTAACCTTCCATTGAAGAAAAATAATTGAAAGTGGGGGTAAATCACATTATGAAATAAATGTTTTACTCCAAAACAAACTGGCCATAATTGTTGCCACCCCTAGATTTTTTATGAGAAAAATATCTCTGAAGTACATTCCCATTAATATTACAATTTTTAAGCACACCAGGGTGACTAGGAACATGAAATTGTTCAGCTTCGACTTCTTGTTTCACAGGAGTTTAAATATGAGGAAGCACAAAGGCCAAATTCCCTGAATCATCCATCACAATGAGTAAAACCAGAGAATATAGTTCTGATGTGCAGCAAAAGATTGTTGAGCTTCACTAAATACAAAGTGGCTGTAAGAAAATATCTAAAGAATTGACTGTATATATATACAGTATATACAAACACACACACTCACCTAAAGGATTATTAGGAAAACCTGTTCAATTTCTCATTAATGCAATTATCTAATCAACCAATCACATGGCATTTGCGTCAATGCATTTAGGGGTGTGGTCCTGGCCAAGACAATCTCCTGAACTCCAAACTGAAAGTCAGAATAGGAAAGAAATGTGATTTAAGCAATTTTGATTGTTGGTGCCAGATGGGGCAGTCTGAGTATTTAAAAATCTACTCAGTTACTGGGATTTTCATGCAAAACCAATTCTAGTGTTTACAAAGAATGGTGTGAAAAGGGAAAAAGATCCAGCATGCGGCAGTCCTGTGGGCGAAAATGCTTTGTTGATGCTAGAGGTCAGAGGAGAATAGCCTGACTGATTCAAGCTGATAGAAGAGCAACTTTGACTGAAATAACCACTCGTTTCAACCGAGGTATGCACCAAAGCATTTGTGAAGCCACAACACGCACAACGGATGGGCTACAACAGCAGAAGACCCCACCGGGTACCACTCATCCCCACTCATCCTGTTGCTCAGTGGTTGCATGTCATTCGGAAATCAAGGTGCCAGTGTCTGGAGGAAGACTGGGGAGAAGGAAATGCTAAAATGCCTGAAGTCCAGTGTCAAGTACCCACTGTCAGTAATGGTCTGGGTTGCCATGTCATCTGCTGGTGTTGGTGCACTGTGTTTTATCAAAGGCAGGGTCAATGCAGCTAGCTATCAGGAAATTTTGGAGCACTTCATGCTTCCATCTGCTGAAAAGCTTTATGGAGATGAAGATTTCATTTTTCAGCACGACCTGGCTCCTGCTCAAAGTGCCAAAACCACTGGTAAATGGTTTACTGTGCTCAATTGGCCTGCCAACTCTCCTGACCTGAACCCCATAGAGAATCTGTGGGATATTGTGAAGAGAAAGTTGAGAGACGCAAGACCCAACACTCTGGATGAGCTTAAGGCCGCTATCGAAGCATCCTGGGCCTCCATAACACCTCAGCAGTGCCACAGGCTGATTGCCTCCATGCCACGCCTCATTGAAGCAGTCATTTCTGCAAAAGGATCCCCGACCAAGTGTTGAGTGCATAACTGAACATAATTATTTGAAGGTTGACTTTTTTTTGTATTAAAAACACTTCTTTTATTGGTCGGATGAAATATGCAAATTTTTTGACATAGGAATTTTGGGTTTTCATGAGCTGATGCCAAAATCATCAGTATTAAAACAATAAAAGACCTGAAATATTTCAGTTGGTGTGCAATGAATCTAAAATATATGAAAGTTTTATTTTTATCATTACATTCCGGAAAATAATGAACTTTATCACAATATGCTAATTTTTTGAAAAGGACCTGTATATTGTTATGTTTCAGAGACAATTTTATCAAAGACATTCATAGGCCTTTTTAAGTCAGTATAAACACTGACGCTTTTCGCTCTCCTCACAGGCACATCCACAGCACCACCGATCTCTGAAGCCAACAGTACGGACCTAACTACAACCACAACAAAATTTACAACATCAAATAAAGACTCACAGGCTCCAGGTAAAAAAAATAAATAAGTATATATATATATATATATATATATATATAGACACACACTCACCACACTCGCAATTTTGAGCGTGGCATAGTTGTTGGTGCCGGACGGCCCGGTCTGAGTATTTAAAAATCTGCTCAGTTACTGGGATTTTCACGCACAACCAATACTAGGGTTTACAAAGAATGATGTGAAAAGGGAAAAAGATCCAGTATGCATCAGTCCTGTGGGCGAAAATGCTTTGTTGATGCTAGAGGTCAGAGGAGAATAGCCTGACTGATTCAAGCTGATAGAAGAGCAACTTTGACTGAAATAACCACTCGTTACAACCGAGGTATGCAGCAATTCCGATGCCGTCTAAACATTGTGATGTCTGTCAGCCATCACGATGGGCGATGATGTCCATCGGCCCAACCCTACCGTGAGTAGAGACTTTTCCCTTGTGAGTGGTGTAAAATATGTAGTTGGATTGCTTCATGTAACTTAGTTCTCCCTCGCTGTGTTATGGCTTTGCTGTGTGGGGATAAATCTGCTGGTTACGTTTGTGAGGCAATCGGTTTCATAAGATTTTCCAAGTAATGTGTACACTAATAAGTTAACACAGCTAATGATTCTGAGATAACAGTACTTCTAGAAACAAACAAGTTTTCTAGAAATGAATACTCTACTTCAGAATTTACAATCAGAGGAAACTGATTGTAAATTCATTTGTCTATGTATGTATATTTGCAGATACATACATACACACATACATGCATGCATACATATATGTAAATATACATATTTACACTATAAACAGAAATTCAAAGGGGTAAACATAAAAAAAATCCTTAAGTGGGCCTAAATTTCCACTTTAAGAGTGCAAGCAATTTGAAAAAAATGTCAGATGTGTTTTGGACAACCAGGTAACAAGTGGATAATGCTAAATACAGGTGTAAATGGGGTCTAAAGGTTTTGAGCTTGTCCATTTTCTACCACTTCCAGAGGTAGTCAAACACATTAGACGGGATCGGAATTGCTTTACTACGAAAGTAATGTAAACTAGTAAAGCTATGTGTGTGTTTTCTTACATGGAATAGCTACTTCATGTTTAGGGACAATTTTATCAAAGACATTCATTGGTTAGCTCCCTTCTGATGCTCTGTCATGTTTTCAGCTCTCCCCACAGCACCAATGATCCCTGAACCCAGCATTATACAAACAAACCCAGCTACAGACAAAAGAAACCTTGAGGTTAAAAATGAGGTTAAAGGTAAAATACATAAGCCAAAAGCTTTACATGTATAACAATCAAATATAACCATTAATGTAGGGCTGGTGATATATTTAAATGTGTTTTTGAATGCAAAAATACTTCCTGATGTTTCAGAGACAATTATACATTACACATTCATAGGTTACTTGCCTGTTGAGTCAGTACTGATGCTCTGTGATGTGTTTCGCTGTCATTGCAGGCAACCGCGCATCATGGTCAATCTCTCAAGCCATCAGTATAAACATAACTTCAGGCACATCAATATTTGTATCAATATCAAATGTCTTTCAAGCTCCAGGTAAATATAAACCAAAACCATTACATATAGAACAATCACATAATTATATAACCACTAATGCAGGGCTGGTGATATCTGTAAATGTGTTTATGAATGCAACAATACAGAGACAATAATACATTACACATTCATACTGTAAGGTTACTTCCCTGTTGAGTCGGTGTAAATACTTTTTACCTTTTGTTTGGTATTTTATGATATTAATTGTTTTATAATATTAGAATATATTTTTAAATGTAATTTATTCCTTTGATGACAAAGCTGAATTTTAAGCAGCTATTACTGCATATTATATTACATGTCTTATGTGGATTTGATGCTCAAGAAACATTTGTTTTTATTATAAATGTTAAAAAGCAGCTGAAGGATCATGTGACACTGGAGTAATGGCTGCTGAAAATTCAGCTTTGCCATCACAAGAATTATATTTTAAATATGTTAACATACGTAGAAAACAGTTATTTTAAATTACTTTAAAAATATCACATAATATTTCTGTTTATACTGTATTTTGTAACAAATAAATGAAGCAGAGGTGAGCATAAGTGACTTATTTCAAAATTGCAGGGCTGGTATTAATGACTTTAAATAAATTAAAAATGATATATTTTGTATATAAATAAACTATTAAACACTGTAAAAACTGAAGGTGCCTTAACCCTATCCTGTTGAGGAACTTCAAAATGTATATTAATTCCTCAAAACTCATTCTTTCTTTTTCTTTCCATTGACAGTCTACTGTTCGTGCCGGAACTTATGGGATCCTTTAAACACTTTGTATGCAGTTCTGATGTTCTGGAGTTACATTTTTTTGTTATAAGTTTCTTCTTCGTTAAAGGTTTAAATGTTAAGGCTGAATCCCAATTCTCTGTCTTATTCTCTGTTTTTTAATGATTACAATAATACAATACAAATACGATAATGAATGGCTACAACATGAACGCATGACTCACTCTCATAGTTGCTTTGCAGCATATTTTGATCTTAGAAACTTCAGCTTGTTTTCGTCCCGAAAGTGGATCAGCTGCCGGGTTTCCTCATGCGTCCCTGTGTGATACAGGACAGTATATGTAAAGGATAGATGGCTCCAGGGTGACCATACAACGTCCTCTTTTTCCCGGACATGTCGCCTGGATTTCGGGATCATACATTTTTGTCATAGTTTTTTAAACAATCATTTAAGTACTTAAGTACGAAAATACATTTATGGGACTCTCTGGATGGTATGCCCACCATTGTTGCTGGTTGCGCAGTGCATTCTGGGTTCCCCCTTGGTTTTAAGCAAGCTTGCGAAAATTCTTGGTTTTAAGGGGTATCTACCCCTTCCCCTTAGCCCTACCCCTATATCAAAATGAGAATTGGGAATTGGGATAGCCCTTACTCTCACGTGAACTTGCAAAACTAAGCGAAAGGGGTAAGACAGAATTGGGATTCGGCCTAAATCCTATGTTGCTAAATTATTTTATGTTGTTATATTATACTATGTTGCTAAAACTGGTTATTGAATTAATTTAGTGTCTTGTGTTACTATGATTGAATTTGTGTGCACCTTCTAGTAGTATTGACATATGGAAAAGGTCATATGGAAAAACGTCAAATGGGGGTCAAATGGTCATATGGAAAAACTTCTTGTGATGGAATTCAGGCTACATTTATCTTACTAAGTACTACCTGTGTTTTTGGTGGTTATCAGTATATTATAGAGGTTTAGAGGTTTGGGATATTAACACTATCAGTTAAGAAAATACCTGTCTTTACTGTAAATTTAAGGTCGATGTCGATGCAAGTACAAGCAATTAACAAATGCAAGCAATTAACAGTCATTTTTGGTTTCATGTCTCAATTTGACTGGTACAATGGTCACATACCCACAGAAGTAAAACAAAAGGTTATAAGATTTATAAGAGTTTATAGATACTTTGGTTACTGTGCTGGATGTGCCCTCTCCCAGGGTCTTTGCAAATTCATAAAAATGAATTGATAGTTCATTTCTGAATTTTGGATATATTTTGACTTGGTTTGAGTTTTTAAAGAGATGTTGCAAAAGCGAATCTCTATAGCCAGATCAGCCAGTAGTAGTGTCTATTTTTCTAATGTTAGATATGCATGTACTCTTTATTTCTGAGCAATGATTGGCATGATACATTTACCTGACTAATAATAAATTGTTACATTTGAATTTATTCTGACTTGCTCTGAAATTATTAACTCTAGTAGATTACATTTTATCCATTGTAACCGCAAATCTGCGTTCAGGTTAGTAACATACTAATATCCAGTATTGAATGGAGCATAGGGCATGCCAACTGAGATTTTAGAGCCCCGGCTAACTGGTTCAAGTGTACTGTAAAGGCTAAAAAGGGAATTTCCATATAGGACAAATCTAAATAGTGTGAGCTTTATCTCTGTTTATTGTAATATTACTCTAGCTAAGTGTAGGCCAACATGGGAAACCATGACATGACCAAACCATATACCCTGAGTCGGCTCATATCTGTAGTGGTAGGCCCTATCTGAATGAACTAGTACAATACGAGTAAAGAGTTAAATAGAATAATGAAGTGTCTAGATAACCTTTATTTTTAAAGGTTATTAAAGGTAATAGGTAATGCAGTTTATATGCTTATTTTGATAATGTTGGTTTTTCTACTTTATATGAGTCTGTTTGTATTTTGTACATATACTGTATGTCTTTTTGAATACTGTACATGTCAGAGATGTGTTTTAGCATTGCTATTGTTCAGTCGCCTCTGTTTTCTTGGAGGCTCTACACTTTTGATTATCATTAGACCAGTTTTGAAAAAAAAAAGGTAAGTGTGTCAAAAAACTTTAATACACTTATGACCTGCCATGGTTTCAAGCCGAGTTTGGATTAAAAAACTTTAACCCTTGAACAATAAGAGGTTAAATAATGACAACTACGTTAATGGAGTTAGATTAATTATATTGAAGTCAGATCAACTGAAATCTCCACAACATATTGTTAGATTATTCGTAATGAACAGACAGGAGACAGCGGGCTCTTAGCTTTACTGCAACATTTCCCCATGCATGACCCGCACATCCAAAACATCCTACCAGTACATTCCCTGCACTAACATAACATATTACTGCACTATTACTTTCTCATTTAGAACACCCCCTCCCCCTTCTTCTTCTTTTTTACTTTTAAATAGGAAAAAGGAGGTATTTTTTATGTTCCAACAGAAGACAGGGAAATAACATCAAACTCAAGTCAAATTCTAAAGGTTTAGTCTTGGCTATCAACCTTAGTCTTAACCTTAGCTTTAGTCTTGGTGGTTTGAACACCCTGGCCACTCTGCTTCTAATACAGTCCCTAATTTCTCTTGTCTGTGAAGGAACTGCTCTCAGATGAGAACGGTGTCTTCTCAACATACCAGACTGCCCTTCTACAATGTAGGAACGTGGAGCATCAGCAGGTCTCATGACTATGCCTGGTTTTGGTACATTCTTGATCAGACTGATTGCCCAGACTGTAGAGCAGGTTTTGTATGTGCTCTATAATGTTTAGCACTTCGTCTGTTCAACTCTTTCAACTCCTTGTCTTTTCTTTTGAAGGCGATAAGGATTGGGCAGATTTCAGTTTCAGTGTGGATGGACTCACTGGGAGAGTAGTTCTGATGTTCGGTCTCATCAGGAGTTGAGCAGGTGCTAATGGTGCAATGGTGCTCCTAATGCTTATGGCGTAGCTCTGTAAGCCATAAGTGCTTTGTTAGGGTCCTCACCTTTACGCAGTTGTCTTTTAACAGTTCTCGCTGTTTCCACTTTTTTCCGTTGCTTTGAGGATAGTGCGGGCTGCTGGTTACCAGTGTTGGGAGTAACGCATTACAAAAGTAATACATTACTGTAACATATTACTTTTTGCTGTAACGCAGTCGCAGTAGTGTAAGGCATTACTAATCAATTTTCAGTAATATTTTACTCGTTACATGTTCAGTGAGGCTTGTATTACAGTTGTATTACAGTGTATTTTCTGCTTTTACTTCTTAAAGGCAACAGACTGTGTGAAAGTTTTAAAGCAGTCTTTTAGTGGCAGTTCAGAGCGGTCGCATCTGTAACATTGTTTTTTCCTCATAAATGCGAACACGAAAACTAAAATAAAATGAATATTTTAAGTTCTATGGAGACTGAAGAGCCAACCCTTCCTCATCCGATTTGCGCAGTGTAATTAACAGAATTACAAAAAATATATTTTGCCTCCTATTTTTTTGTCACGCATGAATGTGTCTTTTCCCGAATATTAAAAATAAAACATAGACTGATGTCTGGAGTCCTTTAAGGAAGTAGCCTATATACGTTTCAATACATGTATTTTCTGAGAATTTTTATTTCAAGTTTTGACTGCAAATGTCATGTCCATAATGCTGGACTTCACCAATTTTCAATAATTTATCCTCAACTAGTTTTGTGGTGTAGGTCTACATATTTTATAATGTTAACTTCAAATAATACTAATAGCCTAATTTAAAGATGAGGCAGCATTGGATATGGACGGTAAGGAGAATAACGCTGGAGTTGGAAGAGGTGTGTCGCGATTCTGTAGGTTCGTGGATGTGGCGAATCGCGATTTCGGTTTCATAGTGCATATCATTACAGCCCAAAAGTTAAGTTCTACTTAGTTATTTTGGTGAAAGTAACTCAAAAGTAATACATGAGTAATGTAACGCATTACAATTCTGAGACAGTAATATTGTAAGGTAATGAATTACTTTTAAATAACAGTAACAAGTAATACCTAATGTATTACGGTTTGGAAGTAACTTGCACAACACTGCTGGTTACATAATGGAAATCATAATCTTTTGCAAAGTCCTATGCTTCTTGATGTTGTTGAAGTGAGTGAAAGCAACATAAAGCATGAAAGTCTATCAGCAGAACATAATTACCCTTGTTCCAATGGAAAGGATCTACTTCCACTCTCTGCCATGGTCAAGTAGTGGTCAACAGGGGTTCTGGGAAGCTGTAACTATTTTTGACACTTTCACACTGATTTACTTTGTCTTTGATTTGCTGTGTTATACCTGGCCACAATACTGCCAAGTATCACCAGTCCTTCGTCACCAAACCCTCTGCATTGAGCAGGTCATGTCTGTGTTGCCAAAACAATGCTAGGTGTGGTGGAACACTCTATTTCCATCCCAGCCTGTACATACAAGAGAACTTAGCTGCTGCACACTTCATCCCACTCCAGACACCATGTTAGATTATTCGTAATGAACAGAAAGTAGATAGTGCTCTTATGGAAACTTTACTGAAACTCGCATTCCTCCGTGCATGACGCAGATTCGCACATTCCACACCCAAAACATCAACAGTAAACATATTTTAAATGCTTTTTGTTCTATTGTTGGTTTAAAATAGCAACATATGCTCCCAGCCTTACACCCTTTTTTTTTTTTTTTTTTTTTACATATTTTTATTAATTCTTATGAATTATGTTTCTGAGTTTGCCTGTTTTACACTAAAAGGTTTATGTAATTACAATGTTACAAGGCTACATAGGAAAATTAACAAAGGTCATTTTCGATAATGTGTCATGTTTCCTGATGTTTTTCTCATTCCATCAACATTAAAAATTAATTGCTTTGGTAAAATCCAGTTCTCTGTTTATCTTTCTGCTTAACTGTCATCAGTTCAAATCTCTGCCAAATGCACTGTTTGGGTGTTTCTCAAACAGAAGGCTTCATCCTTGTAAAGCTGCATATCTCGGCTGTCATGTCATCAAGCAAAGGCTGCTCACTGCAGAGCCAATGAGTGGTGCTTGAAGTCCAGATTCCCCTCGCTGGACATAAAAGGTGTGTTCGATGGTGTCTGACATCAAGGTACTACCAGCCGAGAGTGATTCCAAAGTATACAGAGCCGTCACTCCAATCGCTCTTGCGGTACTTTGATTTCATACACCAGTCGGTCTGCGCAGCTCCATTTCAAGTCGAACACTTCTAATGTGTGGAGGAGCTAGACGTTCTGACCACACCGTAACCCTAAAACTATATAACTCCACTTAGGTACACAGAGGTGGAACTGGTCAAGGTCCACCCATTAAGTCGGCGCCGCTTCAAGTCGAACACTATGCTGCATCCCAATTCAGAGGATGTGTCATTCGAAGGCTGATTGCATCACAGCGGAGCATCAAAGTCTCTCCTAAGTTGAAGGCTCCTTAAATGCAGTCTTCAAATGCATGTTCAAAACGCAAATTCACGGCATTGTCTAAACCAGAATTCATTCTGCACATCTCCACTCTGTTGTTTAACAGTTGATATCTTTAATGCTATACTTTAATGCTTCGCTACTAGCAGAAGACACAAGCAGGGTTGTGCATGGTGGGGCATGTTGTAACACTGTGTTATAATGTGCCCCTATTAGAAATATGCTATTATATTCTATTCTTTTATGGATTCTATTGAGAAAACATGAGAAACATGTAGATAAAGATTGAGTCAATGTTCAGAAATTATTAATTATTATGTTGTTTTGAACTATGCTGTACAGCTGTGTTTCCTGGTGTGATTGTTGTCAAACTCAAAAATGAGTTTATTTTTAATTATTAAAAAATGGCATTATTTTAAATGAAGAAGTTAATAATTGTATTTTATTAAGAAAATGTTTTGGTTTGACTTGTATTATGTTTTTGATCAGATCAGATAGCATTTTAAGCTGTCAAATGGTGATGTTACAATGTACCCAACCTATGGGGCATGTTGTCACATTTCACTTCCATTCTTTCAGGGTAGATCAAGAAAAAGGTATACACTGTATTAATAAATCAAAACCACATAATTGTACTAGACATGTGGGAAATTAATGTGGGAAATATGTATACTCTGAACCCTAAGTAGATTTACACAAACTGAGAGAGTTAAAAAGCATTAGGTTGTGCCCCACTTTCCCCTATAAAGATTTTACAAACTTTTGGCTTTCTCCGTTGTGGGATTCTGATTGTGATATTTCAGGCTATTCTTATTTCTCATTAAGGCGTCTTGTTGTTTTTCCAGTGGAACAGCACCCAAACTAGAGGGATCTGCAATGAAAAAGTTACTTGTGAGTAAAATGAAAGGCAATTTTCTAAATGATAACAAACCTCCAGGTGTTGTGTTTGGTCTGTAATTTTTTGTTTGGGTTTTGGGTCTGTGTATTTCATGGTCCACAGGTTTTTGATGGATGTACATTCGGCTGCCTATTAAAAAATTATAAAGCTAAAGCTAAGATAAAGAACGAACCGAGAAATTATCTTACAGAAATATAAGATAAACGACAAGATTATGTTAAGTAGCCTACTTTGCTGGTGCATTCGCGGAAACTAACACAGTGACAACCAATTTTGACGGGATCTTATAAACAATGCACATTGTGATCTTCAGTAATAGCCTTTTAAGAAATGTTATATAATATGGTATGTGTAGGCTACCATATAGCTTTATACTCAGCAGCTCAAGTAGAACATGGTAACCGCTTAGAAATGTCCCGGGCAAAACAAAACTTCACAATGCTGCTTAAGTAGAGGAGATAATGAAAAACACCTGTGCAGGTGATTAGTCGCTGTACGAGGTGCATGGGAAATGTCCGGGAAAGTCAATACTCAGGTGAGACTGCCCTCCGGTGGCCATCAGAGAGAGACACAGAGGTCTGATTCATGACACTTATACTTCTTTCAAAATTAGGCAATTTAAAACCTTGTATATTTTTTCTAAATTGTTGTAAACAGAGGTTCCGTTCCATTGCGAGTGAATTCAGCTCTAAAAACCTTAAAAAGGAAATAAGCCACAATTAAGCCTAATTTTGAGTAGCCTATACATCACTGTACAAAACTGTAATTTTATCTATAAAACTTTTACTAAAACCAAAAGCTTTTAATGTTTCCCATAAGTATGCATGTTCAACTCTGTCGAAAGCTTTCTCTTGGTCAAGCGAAATCAATTAGAAACATCATATATCCTAATAAGGGAAATATAATCAAAAATTTACCTTTTGAGGACACAGGATAGGCTACAGTAGGTTTGGTCCAGATGGATCGCCTTATTCATAATTTTTGATAATCTGTTTGCTTTGCTAAAATTTTTGAAAGAAGTTTATGGTCACTACACAGGAGTGAAACTGGTCTCCAGTTTTTGATCTCTGTTAGATCCCCTTTCTTTGGAAGGAGGGTCAGCAGGAATGCTCTCCGGAATAGCCCTTTGCGAGGAAACGCAAAGTTTCTCGGGGGAACGCAAACGATTTTTAAAAAGTAAATAAATAAAACTCTCCCATACTACTTTTTCCACCACCTTTTTGAGTTAAAAAAAAAAAAAAAATCACGGTCGCGCCATTCATTTCTGGATGCGGAGAGAATGTTTTGATGGCCAACAATCTCTCCAAAGGACTGTGATATGAATCTCACATATAAGTTTTATGTTACAAAACACACACTTTCTTTAACTTTCTGAAATCCTATACCTTGACTTACAAAATGAAGCATTGGAATGGCTCTGTAGGCTATCATCAGAGGTTTGCCTGCGGTGACCTCATTGTTTTATGAACACTTCTAAAGAACTGTTATCAAAAATAAGTCATGTGTAACTTACTTCCTTGTGTACGTTTGTTGTGGGGCAGGAGGAGAACAATTCAAAGCTGCTATCACAAGACCATTTCCCCCTTTGATCGTAATAACTGAATTCGCCAAAAGAGGGCATTAGAAACCATTTAGCCAACTTAATTGTGCAATAAAATATCTGTTGATCTGACGGAGTCACGGACACATTCAAGAGTCGACTGACAACAAGACACTTACTTTCCCTCTCCTTTAATCAGCAACGCGCACGGTAGGTCTAAAACAAAGGTATTGTAATAACTTTATTATATTTGAACTTCAGTAAAGTGTCTATTAACGGGAATTGTTATAAGTCAGTTGTTTATAATTGATATTATTTATGTTGGTCGTTTCAGATGTATATTGCGAGAGGTCTACTTATTCTTTCATTTGGATCCATACTGAGGTTAACCTCCTGTTTCAGCGATGGAAGCTCATTGGCGGGTCAATGTCAAGCAATGAATATTAACCATCCTGATGGAAATGATATTGATATACCAGCACAAGACACGGAATACCCTTTCAAGGTCGAACCAGAAAGTGTGAAATTGAACGTCTCGGAATCGAATATGCCCCCTATTACCGGTAGACTCAGTCTTATTATCATCTCTCTCTCTCTCTCTCTCTCTCTCTCTCTCTCTCTCTCTCTCTCTCTCTCTCTCTCTCTCTCTCTCTCTCTCTCTCTCTCTGTCACACACACATACACACTCACACATAAATTCAAAATTGTTTTTTTTGCATGACTGTACATCATACAATATTGCCAAAGCTTGGAATATACAGAATAATTATAAAGACAACAAAATAGTAAAATATTATTACATTATAATATCTAAATGTAGGGGAGACCGGGGACTGTTGCAATACTTTTTGAAATGGGCTCCGTTAAAGACGGTTTGGGTTAGACAAACCAATTGTTTATACAATAATCTTACATCTGTCTGTTAGTCTAAACCATTTAAAGATAATTACAGAATCTACATTTTTCACAATTTGCATTTGAATGTAAGGCGTCTATGTTGCAACTGTCCCCAGGCTTAATATGTGTTTTTTTTTTAGGAGATAAAGCAACTGTACAAAAAAATTGTGAAGGAACTCTAGAAAAAGTTAAAGGTCGACTCGAAAAATGGAAGTGGTTAATTCCAAATATGAACTTTAGATATAAATAATTAAGTAGCTTCCTCTTTATGGCATAAGTTAACCTGCATTGATGCTCCTTTGCGTCTCTTAGCAGACATTCAATTAATTTTAGTAGGGTTTTTTCTGGGACAAGTTATTGGGTTCCTCAGAGTATATTGTTTTTGCCCAAAGGAGGAGGACAAGCCTTGGTACATCTTCAAAGTAGAGCGGCAGCTTTTCGTTTACAGTTTTTGCAAAGACTTTTTAATGGTATAATAATTTCAAACTGGAAAGTAGTTGCATGTAAGATACTACAAAATCTTGGAAATTTGAAAATGCATAGAAATCTTTTCTTTGTGAACTTGTCAAAACTGAACCTCAATGGAATCCCTATTTTTATCGGAATTTTTTTAACACAAAATGACTGTACAATTCCTGGACTCACGGAAAGACTTGTGGCTTCCAAAATTTTCTTATATTATTCGTATTACTTTCTTATTTTCTTATATGTATACGAGTAGAAAAAACAAGATAGAAATGGGTGCATATCAAGATATTAATATTCTATTTTTATCCACAGTTAAATCCAGAATACTCATTTATTTTCGTTTTTATAGTTCCAAGGAAAGATCTTATCACATCTGAAATTAAATGGTTCCAGAATGAGGCTCTGTGCTCTGTTATTGATGGAAAAATAAGTTTTTTCTCTTCTCTGTAATGGAAAATGGTTGATTTGTTGAAAAAAATCTCAAAATTCTCTCTGTTCTCTCTCTCTCTCTCTCTCTCTCTCTCTCTCTCTCTCTCTCTCTCTCACACAGTTTATTCTTTTATTAGTGTAAAATGTTTTTTCAGATGTGTCACTTTAAACTCTCTCATTTTACCACAGTGACCCTTTCTGGTGGATCGGGGTTTTCGGGGTTTATGTTGGACTCTCGTAATGAGAACAATCTGCCTGTTGGTACGTTTAGTTTGGAGGACCCGCGCAACACCCAACTCATCTGTGGTGTGAGTCCTGCTGTGCACCCACTACACACTAAAGTTATTCTTTGCACCATGTGTTAAAGCTGCAGTCCGCAGTTTTTCCTGTTTGTCGCCATCTCTGTTCGAAATCTGCAATTGCAGTCATTCGCGGAATTATCAACTTTACGTGAGTTGTACATAAACACCCTCGACACGGCACAGCGTGAATGAACACAATGTTTGAGGAGAGTGTGAGGCTGTCAGTCACCGCGCTGATGTGGATACTGTCATTCAGAATCACAGATTATTCTTTTTGGAAGTATGACCAACATAAGAATTTTTGTTCTGGTTCTGACATTGCAGTAAATCGCACTGATTAAATCTAACAATCGCTTAAAAGTTATATCACGCAAAACCAAATTGTTAATGTTAACAACGTCAGCATTGCGTGACTACATGTAATGTTCTTCCAATATGTATCGTTGTTTTCGGTTCGGATCCGGTTGCAGCCTCTTTTTTCTGTATCCACTCTGAAGTCCGAACAAAGTCTTTTGCATTTTACAACGGGTGAATCTCTAGTTGTCACTTGTGATTGTCGTTTGAACCTTTTTGGATACGATAAAATAAGCAAATTGAAAAGTTTAATTATATCAAGTGCTGTGAGTAAAAGTCTTTAAATCTCCACCTCCAACATCCTCACACGCAATATAGCCTACTAGCCGAGACTCCTTTTTTATGCGTACAGATGTGACGTCATGACGCAAAGACACGCTCGAATCTCCCACAGAAATCCACCAGTACCACTGGAATTAAAAACATTATTACAAGCTTACCGCTTTGAATCGAGCTAAGGCAAGCAGATAGTTTTGAACACTGGCTGGTTATGTATTTTCTCAAATATGTATTTTGGATAATTATTTACCCAAAAAAAAAGCTACGGACTGCAGCTTTAAATGTTATCAGCTATTAATTCATTAAACTAACCTCAACTGTTTATGTGCTATTTATAGGGCAGTGTCGTTGTTCATGTTAATAATGTAAAGAAAAACTCAATCAGAGTGTTGTGGACACCCCCACCGGCAGCCCCAGGACTCAAGACTCAGACTCAAGAATTTTTCTTCAGGTAGCCTAGTTTTGCTGTGGAGCCTAATAAGACGAAATGAAACATAATAGCATTATTAATAGCATAATAATAATAATAGCATATTATTATTATCATTATAGTTTCGTTGCGTTTCATATTGTTAGTTTGCAAATCTGATCTTTAATTTCCTTTTCAGAGCTGCAGTTGTAGAAAACTATTCTAAGTTTTGGCGAAGGAAGCCGATAATTGTAACGTCCACAACACCACCGCCCTCTGAAACAAGTGCAGGACTAACTACAAGCCCAACAATATTTCCAACATATTCAAATGCCACAGGTAATAACATTTTTGTTGTCTACTGTTTTTTTTTTTATTATTATTTTATGTAGGACTAATTTAAGTCACCACCATCATACTATCAATATTCACAATTCTTATTAAAAGTAATCGCAGTATTCATTATAAATCATTTATCCATGCCTATAAATATTTATTTTAATTTACATGCCTTTGTCATTTTTTTATTGAAATAATGTCCCCTCCCTTATGCCACGTCATCTGGGGCCAGTTACATAAACCACTAAGGCTTGTTTTAAATGTTAGTCATCATATTTTTGTCTTGTAGACGGTTCATAACGTTTTGAGTCAGTAAAATAAAAATTTAGGTGTAACACTAACTTAATACTAATGGGGATAGGCATTTTTCAACCTCTTTACCTGATTTGCTAAAAATGAGTGGGAGATTATATTGGTACAACACCGGAAAAACACGGACCCCAGAGGCCTGTTTCATAAAACAAGTTTACCAAATAAGCCACGCTTATTTCAGTTAGTCTGACTCATTGTCAAATGATTTGGTTTCATGTAGCTAATTTAACATTTCTCAAGCTCAGTCACTTTGGCAACTTATGCTAGGTCTGATTTTAAGATATCCTGAGGAATCAGGAAATTAATAGGTTAATGTATTAAGGTTTTTAGTCTATGCTGACCTGAACAATAGCCTACATTAATTAATAAATTCTGTAATGTTACAGGTAACTAATAAAAACAAGGAGGCAGATTAATTTAGAGAGAAATTTTTAGAGAGAAACATTTTTTAACCCATCTCTGATGTGTGATACTGACCTGAATTCTATATGAGTTTCTAAATGTTTTTATTAATTATTTGCACTGTTCAGAATATAGACTGAAACTTTTATGTGCAACTATATATTGATGTGTTTTAAAAAGTTGGCAGTCAAAACCAAAACCGTTGAAGGATCAATGTTCTCAATTTTTCACTGACAAACAGTAAATGGGAATGTGTGTATTACAGTATGTACAGTGTTTTCTGTATGTACAGTGTTTTCAGTGACAAGTTTTTGACAGTTTCCTAAAATATCTGTTTAAAACTAAAAATTATATTGTCATTTATTAGGCAAATATCAATTCCAAACAACTAAATAGTCATTATTCAAACATAATAACCAAAAATATTATATTTTGTATGGTGTCCTTTGGGCATAACAACAGCTTGTATTCTTGTTGCCATTGTTTTTATGTACAGTACTTTTCCACAGTTTCTTTTGTTTTTGACTTCCAAATAGTCTCTATTTGTTCCCAAATACTTGCTTTTGATGAAACTTTCATGCAATATATCTTTGAATATACTAAATCCTAGACTTTGACCTGGCCAACCTGGCCAACAAAAGATTTTGGTAATCACCAATACTGTTAGTTTAGGGCAGGTCTGGCACAAGCCTTACATTGGGTTGTGATCTAATACATTTATCAAGCAAAGTATATATATGAAAGACATTCATAGGCCTTTTTAAGTCACTGATGCTTTCCGCTCTCCTCAAAGGCACATCCACAGCACCACCTCTCTCTAAAACCAGTACTACGGACCTAACTACAAGCACAACAAAATTTGCAACATCAACATATACAGATTCTCAGTCTAAAGGTAAAAATATTTTATTTATATATTAATAAAATTAATTTATATATCTGATGTGTGATGGTGAACTAAACTATATGTGTGTAATGTGTATTACATTATGTACAGGCTTTTCTACATTTGTAAATTGCAATGCACAGTATTTATTATTAGAGGGGTAGAATCCATAGCTCAGATACTCACTCATGGGTACTTTTAAAGAAACTATACTCAAACTCAATTAGTATTTTTGACAAGCACATTTATCACACTACATTTTTGAAAAGTAATGATGCTTTGACTTGAGTATTGTTTCAGTACTCTATGAAACTGTAAATGATGTTGGTCTGTGGACCCGTTTATACCTGGTATTACAGTTTTTTCAAATTGCTTACACATAATTTCTGAAACTATGGCTCAATTTCTTGAAACTCGAAACAACAAAACACGCACATAACATGCAAAACATCTGACATTTCTTACAAAAGCAAACACATCATTCAAAACTATTTTAACTCTTCCAAAAATAGTTTGTATGCATATTAACTGTACACACAAACATAAAATGATTAGCCACATGCACGGCAAACATGTGCAGTGGAGTATACAGGAATTTCTCACACGTACACAAATACACTGTATATACAGTATGTATGAACAATTGATGAATGTTAGTTATTGAACTGAAATGAATCAACACTGAAGTGACAAAATATTGACACTTTTGGCATGTTGGCCAAGCTGCTTCTCAGACGATTTTTAATTTGTTACTATTGTGAAGCTGCTGTGAAACACTCGATATTTCTTAGCTTGTATGTACATTCAATATATATATATATATATATATATATATGCACTGTTTGTGTGTGCATATGTGCATATATGTATATGTACAGTATGCATACATACATATACACATGTTTCTATGTGATCAATTTATGTATAAGTGTTTTCACACATATTCATTGAGTGCTAGGTCGTTAGTAAATGAGTGTGGCATGTAGATAACTGTGTTTAGAGTTTTGGGGGTAAAAATAAATAAATTCACTGAGTGGGCCTAAAGTTCCACTTAAAGTGCATAAGCAATTTGAAAAAACTATAAGATGTGTTTTGGAAGATCAGGTATTAGTGCATAACGCTAAATACAGGTGTAAATGGGGTCTAAAAGGTTTTGAGCTTGTCCACTTTCTACCACTTCCAGAGGTAGTCGAAAACGTATACGACGGGATCGGGATTACTTTACTACGGATGTAATATAAACTGTTTATTTATTTATTTATTCTTTATGGAAATATACTTCCTCATGTTTTGGGACAATTTTATCAAAAGGATTCAACGGTTACTTCCCTTCTGTGTCAGTGTAAACATGTTGCTCTGTCACGTTTTCAGCTCTCTGCACATTGGTCCGCAGCACCAATGATCCCTGAAGCCAAAAGTATACAAACGAGCCCAACAATAATTGTATCAATATCAAAATACTTTGTAGTTTCATGGTAAAATATATGAATTACATATATAACAATCAAATATATTTATTTAAAATTAATGCAGGGCTGGTGATATATTTAAATGTGTTTTTGAATGCAAAAATACTTCCTTATGTTTCTGAGACAATTATACATTACACATTCAAAGGTTACTTCCCTGTTGAGTGTGTGGAAATAATGATGCTCTGTGATGTGTTAAGCTTTATTTTGCAGGAAAATGCCCATCACAGTTAATCTCTGAAGCCATCAGTACACAAATAAACATAACTTCAGGCACATCAATATTTGTATCAATATCAAATGTCTTACAGGCTCCAGGTAAAATATATAAACCAGAAGCATTACATATAGAACAATCAAATATAACCATTAATGCAGAGCTGGTGATATATTTAAATGGGTTTTTGAATGTAAAAATACTTCCTTTTGTTTCAGAAATAATTATTCATTACGCATTCATACTTCTCTGTTGAGTCAGTGTAATTACTGATGCTATGTGATGTGTTCAGCTTTCTTTGCAGGCAACTGCGCAGAACGATCTATGTATACGGTGTTGTGTGTTACTATGATGATTTTTTTAGTATTTATGTGCACCTTCTAGTAGTATTGACATCAGTCATGACTCATGTGGAAAAACTTCTTCCGACGAGATTCAGGCTACATGTATCTTTCTAATTATTACCTGTGTTTTTGGTGGTTGTCAGTATATTATAGAGGTTTGGTATATTAACACTATCAGTTAAGAAAATGTACGTCTTTACTGTACATTTAAGGTCAATCTGTAAAACTTAAAATGTTGCTACCATGGGAATTTGTTATGGTGAGTTCTGGCAATTCACAGCTGCCTAAATTTCACAGATTTTTGCTACAGTATATAAAGTAAAGTAAATATATACGTATATATATATATACTCAATTCAGAACTGCCTGAATTCTACGTGGCATTGATTCAACGAGGTACTGAAAGCATTCTTTAGAGATGTTGGCCCATATTGATAGGATAGCATCTTGCAGTTGATGTAGATTTGTGGGATGTACATCCAGGGTACGAAGCTCCCGTTCCACAACACCCCAAAGATGCTCTATTGGGTTGAGATCTGCAGATTATAGCCAGATCAGCCTGTAGTACTGAGTGTCTATTTTTCTGAGGTTAGGTATGCATCCTGAACTCTTTATTTCTGAGCAATGATTGGCATGATACATTTACCTGACTAATAATAAATTGTTACATATGAATTTATTCTGTCTTTCTAAATTATTAACTCTAGTAGATTACATTGTATCCATTGTAACCGCAAATCTGCGTTCAGGTTAGTAACAGACTAATATACAGTATTGAATGGAGCATAGTGCATGCCAACTGAGATTTTAGAGCCCCGGCTAACTGGCTGAAGTGTACGGTAAAGGCTAAAAAGGGAATTTCCATATAGGATCGACCAACCTAAATAGTGTGAGCCTTATCTCTGTTTATTGTAATGTTATTCTAGCTAAGTGTATGGCAGGTGGCCAGGCCTTACACCAATAAAGAACCTTTATTTTTAAGAGCATGATGATGAATCTTGTAATTTGTTTTCATTTATTGCAGTTCCATCAACATTGCCTTCTCAGTGTGCGCTATATATGGTATGTAGACTGTATGCATCTTTCTAAGTGGTATTTTATTATATCAAGCATGTTTATAAATAAATTTTCTCCACAAACGTAATTGGGGTTTTAAGTCTTGCATGGCTTGATTGCCTCTATCTCACTTATTTGACCTTTTTCCTCTTCCTTCTATGAATATCATTTTCATGATCCGCATGTTGGTTATTAAAATATGCATATTTGACTATCAATGTTGTTTTTTCTACTTTACATGAGTCTGTTTGTATTTGTACATTTATGTCTTTTTGTATACATGTCAGAGATGTGCTTTAGCGCTGTTATTGTTCAGTCGCCTCTGTTTTCTTGGAGGCTCTTCACTCCTGATTATCATTAGACCAGTTTCGACAAAAACGGTAAGCATGTCAAAAAACTTTAATACATTTATGACCTCCATTTTAAATTCACAGATTCCTACTAAATCCATAATTTAAACACAACTTATGTATATGGCAAATAATGTATCTCTTCACAGACGACCATGATTGCCTCTGTCCTTGAACTAGCATCCAAAACTATTGCTGTCATCCTCGTACTAATAAAAGCAAATAAAGTAAGGACTATTGGTTCTATTAGGCTACATTATATTTTACTTTGTGACAGACAGTATTACATTGTTTAAACTGAATATTTGGGAATAAAGAGTAAAAGCATTAAAGGAAATTTACATCCAATGAAATGACCATTTCTGTGCATATTTTTGTGTTAGTATGAGTGTGTGTATGAGTGTGCTGGTTTCAGGTTTACTGCTTTCACGGTGGCTGCCATGGTTTCAAGCCTGCTGCACACTATCACTGTTCTCCTTGCCTGCGGACCAAGCCATGAATTGTGAGTGTAATCTTTAGCTACATATCAGCGCCATGGTCTCACCGAAGAGAAATGCAGATTATAGGCTGCTAGCCACACCAATGGTTGTTGTTATAGTTTCAATCATAAATGTAAAACGTCTGTGTTTTGAATTTAACACTCTAAAAAACCTTGACTTGCAGAAGGAAGTGTTGGCTTTGTGCCACCGTAATGGTTGACCTAATGAATACTACCATTACAAGTAAGTCACATTTTTCTGTTATGTTGTATGAGTTACTTTATTTTTTCTAAGTTTGGTGTAGGTGTAAATACTCATTTACTCATTCAAATGTATTAAAAGCTAATTCAGATGTATCTAATTAATACCTTTTTGTTTATAATCCTCTTCTTTCATGTATAGCCACTGCAATATTTTTTGGATTGTGGTGCTTTGAGTGCTGGCTGCCAATATTAATGGGAGTTTACGTTGTTTGGGAGATCATGTTCTACCTTGGTTCAGTTTGCTATGAACAAATGGAAAAATACCTGACAAGAAAAAGAGTCAGAAGTAAGTATCCTTGGTGCCTATTGATTCAAGGCACTATAGAGAGATTCCCACGCAAGCCTTATAAATAGACTTATAAATGGACTTTAAAGAATTTTATCTGTTATCCTTCACACCCAGGCATAGTCTTGTAGCCTGGTTAAAACCAGACCATTCTCAGTTGTAATTAGCTCTTTGCCAGACTAACTTTCAGAGCAAATCTAAATTTGCCAGAAGTTGTCTGGGTTTTCGCAGGCTCTCAGACACTTGTGTAATTCCTTATGCATTTCCCAGAATTTATTAACAACATTATTTGTTTGCATTTGTATGTTTGCAGAAAATCAGAATCGTATTTTGGAAAGGAGGGTAAGTGCATCTGTCAAATCTTAGATTTGTAAAGATAAAGCCATGCCAGTTTCAGTCAACTTGCTTAATATACACATAAACTTTCCAGTGTATAGCAACTCCACACAGATTTGATGGCACTAGTCCAGATCCTTGCAGATAAACAGGTCTACACACCCCATTTAAAACTGCTGTTTTATTTTTTAGAAAAGAAATGAAACAAA